GACAGAGTCTCACTCTGTCACCAGACTGGAGTGCAGTGGTGCGATCTTGGCTCATTGCAACCTCTGCCTCCCCGGTTCAAGTGATTCTCCCACCTCAGCTTCCTGAGTAGCTGGGACTACACATGCATGTCACCATCTCAAGCTAATTTTTATATTTTTAGTAGAGACGGCGTTTCACCATTTTGGCCAGGCTGGTCTTGAACTCCTGACCTCATGATCCACCCATCTCGGCCTCCCAAAGTGCCAGGATTACAGGCATGAGCCACTGTACCCAGTCCATTCTGTTCTGTAGAGTGAGTCTGCCTCACATTTGAGAGAGTCTCCACCTATTGAAAGGAGGAGTGGACATATTTACAAACCACCACAGCCACACTTACCATTTTCTCTTTGCCTTTAGTGTTTTTGAGACTGAGCAGGGACTCCTTCTTAGGGGCCTGGGAGACCCCCAAGCATGGAAATAAAGGAAAATATTTAATTTCTTCAAAGGAAATTCCAGGCACCTAGCTGTCCCTGAAAAGTAAATAAGTAACTTGTTAAACAGTAAGGTAATAGCAGTCTAAAACCATAGCCAAAGAAGGTAGAGTCCAAAGATGTTTGGTTTCCCTATAGAAGCCAAAGATGACATCCTAACATATGTCTCTGAGTTGTTTTTCAGAAACCCAGAGCCCACTGAGGATCCCTCACTGAACAGATCTGCTGGCAAGCAGACCTCACATAGGGAGAAAACTGGACTCCAATCACAGTTTTTTGCTCTAAATTTATTCCGGAGGGTCCTGGAGGGAGTGACAGCCCCGAACCAGTTAACATTTTTCTCTGCTGATCCCAAATTTTAAGACAAAGTCTCTCTTCCTTAACCAACTGCAAATCAGAAAATCTCCAAATCTACCTATTACCTATAAGCCACCCCCACCCCACGTGCCACCCCCCTTAAAGATATCCCACCCTTTGAGGCCAAAACTAACGTGTAATCTCCATGTATTGATTTACAGTTTTGCCTGCAGCTTCTGCGTCCCTGAAATTTACCCCTGCCTTTAAAAACCCTTACCTGCCAGCCATGGAGGAGGTCAGAATTTGATCATTAGCTGCTTGGTCCTCCTTGCTTGGTGCCCTACAAATAAATGCCTTCCTTTCTACACTGCAGCCTCAATGTGGATATCTTTTACTGCACCAGGCAAGTGGATACCAGTTTGGTTCTGTAACAATTTGTAGTTTTACTATAATGCTTGAACTTCTTCTACTAGTTGTGGATTTCTTTGACTAAATAAAAGGGTTTCTTTTATTTATCCCACAAGAGAGTTATATGACGTCTTACATCTGTGATCTGGTTGCTTTCATGGGTACTAAAAATATTCAGCCCTTATCTCTTCAAATACTGTCTCTGCCCCAGCTTTATCTCCTGTTAAACTTAGTTCAATCCTCTTACTGTATTCTCTACCTTTCTTACTCTGTCTTCTGCAGAGTACATTTTTTGTTTCTCAATGCTTTATTCTAGATAATTTCTTATGACCTACCTTCTTTTCAATTTATTCTCCATTCAGCAGCCTAATCTGCCATTAACTGAGTTCTTAATTTAGTTACCGTATTTCTCAGTTATAGAAGTCAATCTCTATTGCTTTGCATAGTTTTTAGATACCTGCCAAAATTGTCCAAGTTATCTTTTTTATTTCTTTGAGCAAAGAAAATATTATTTTACTTTTTCCCCTAAAAACTCTAATAAGTAAGCAAGAAAATACATACATATTTTAAGCCAGGGTCTTGCGCTGTCACCCAGGCTGAAGTGCAATGGTATGATCATGGCTCACTGCAGCATCAACCTACTGGGCTCAAGTGATCCTCCCACCTCTGCCTCTTGAGGAGCTGGGACTTCAGGCCTGTACCACCATCCCTGGCTAATTTTTGATATTTTGTAGAGACAAGGTTTTGCTATGTTGCCCAGGCTGGTTTTGAACTCCTGAGTTCAAGTGATCCACCTGCCTTGGCCTTCCAAAGTGCTGGGATTATAGGCATGAGCCACTGTGTCCTGACCAAGAAAATATTGTATAGTTTGCATCAAATAATTCCAAAAGCAGTTGTTTCTGCAGGTTTATTTCCAACATTTGTGCTTCTGCTGGTTCTCACTGAGAGTCTAGTTTCTTTGTGTACCTGGTAATCTTTAATTTGGTATTTGACATTGTCTATGAAAACTTATGCGTAGGAAAAATTGGGGCCCTACAATTATAAGGCTTTCCTCCAAAAATGATTCATGTTTGCTTTTGCCATGCACCTGGTGACACCATAGTCAGACACAGCCTTAAACCAAGATCATGTCTGAGACAGGCAATTTGATCCAGCCTGTAAATTCCTTTAAAGCTGATCCATTTTCAGTTTTCCAGTTTGTCCTCACCCTGAGGCCCTGGCCCTTTGGGATCCCAGTTATCGTAAGGCAGGTCTTCTACTTTATCCCCACTCACTGTGTTTCATTTTTTTCCTCTTTGAAGTTCAAAAGAATGGTTATCATTTTCCTGTTAGGTAAATGCCATCAGGACAAAAGCAGCTTCCAAGTTGTATTACTTACCTGGATTCTGGCTTTTTTTTTTTTTTCTTCTGAGACAGGGTCTTGCTCTGTCACCCAGGCTGGAGTGCAGTGGCACAATCATAGCTCATTGCAGCCTCTAACTCCTGGGCTCAAGTGATCCTCCCATGTCAGCCTCTCAAGTAGTTAGGCCTACAGGTGTGAGCCACTGTGATGGACCTCCTACTCTCTTGTCATATCTTAGATGCCTTGCTATGGGCTCAACTGTACCCCCTTCTCATTCACAAGACCCTAACCAATATGACTGTGTTTAGAAATGGGGCCTTTACAGACTGATTAAGTTAAAATGAAGCATTTAGGGTATGCTATAAGCTGATCTGACTGGTATCCTTAGAAAAAAGAGGTAATTTGGACACAGAGAGCACCAGGGGCGTGCACATGGACGCGCGTGCACACACACACGCACACACACACATGCACCGAGTAAATTGATGCAAGACAGGCAAGCCAAAATTCCGGCTTAGCCTAGGGGAGTTCTTACCTTTGCCTGGGAAATAATTCAAGGGTGAGTTGGTGGTGTTAGTAATCTTTTATTGAACTGTACTGTGTCTTCTGGAGCAGGGATAACTCATAGGTGTGCACCCATAGTTGGCAATGTGTGGGCTTTTGGCAACTGTATTTATGTTTACGTATAACCACTTCCAAGTACATGTAAATTAAGGAGTAGGCTATTTAGAACTCTCTAGGAAAAGGGTAATAGTTTCCAGGTCATTGCCACAGAAACGGATGGTAATTTCCACGTCACTGCCATGGCACTTGTAAACTGTCTTGGCACTGGTGGGAATCTTATGCTAATGAGCAATGAGGGTGGCTAGGAATCTCTTTCCTCACGCTGGTTCTTACACTTCATCTTTTAGATACCAGGGAAATAAGTCCTGCAGCTCTCCTACCTCAAACCCATGTGAAGACAAAGAAGGTGACTATCTGCAAGCCAAGCAGATAGACCTTAGGGCAAAGCAAACCTGCTCACTATCTTGGATTTCTAGCCTCCAGAGCTGTGAGAAATTTCTGTTGTTTAAACTAATCTGTGATTTCTTCAATGGCAGCCCTAGCAAACTAATACATGCTTTTAAGAACATTAAAAATATATATTCCTGCTGAGCACCGTGGCTTACGCCTGTAATCTCAGCACTTTGGGAGGCTGAGGTGGGTGGATCACTTGAAGCCAGGAGTTCAAGACCAGCCTGGCCAACATGGTGAAACCCCGACTCTACTAAAAATACAAAAAGTAGCGAGGCGAGATGGCAGGTGCCTGTAATCCCAGCTACTCGGGAGGCCAAGGCAGGGAGAATTGCTTGAACCCGGAAGGTGGAGGTTGCATTGAGCCGAGATCGTGCCACTACACTCCTGCCTGGGCGACAGAGTAAGACTCTGTCTCAAAAATAATTACACACACACACATACACACACGTATTCTAGAATTTTATTTTTAAATCTTATTGTTGTTTTCTACAGTAGGTTAATACAAATATCCTAGCCCACCATCTTCACACCCTGCTTTCCTTTTCTTCATAGTCCTCACCATTGCCTGGGGTATTATCTGTTTATTTTTCTATTCATTAATTAATTTCACTGTAATTAAGTTCCAAGAAACCAGGAACTGCGTTTTGTTAACTGCTGTATACTTAGGACCTATAAGAACGTGCGGTAGATCTTACATGCTCAGAATAGGTGACTGAATGAATGAATGAATGACAGAGAAGGCGCTTCACTGGAAAGGCTGAAGGAGGTCTGCCAGGGACCTTTGTGAGGAAATGTGGGGCGATGTGGCTAAGTGCCACTACCCACGGTTCGGGGCCGGCGGTGGGGGAAACCTCGGGGGCGCGCTCGGGCGGCTTCCAGCTTCCGGGTTCGCGTGCGCGCGCTGCTTCCCGGGAGAGGGCGGGCTCCGTGGCCGCCCCCCGTGGGCGGAGCCGGCGGCCGGGGCTCAGAACCCGCCGGAAGACGCGCGGGTTGTGGCAGCGGCTGCAGCGGGATCGCGTGGGGTGGGCCCTGGGGTCGCCAGGCCTGGGGCGAGAGCGGCCGGCGGTGCCAGCGGCCTGGAGGGCAGAGGCCAGGCGAGACGCCCGGCTGCGGCCTAAGAGGCCGGGCTGGGTGGGCTTGGCTGCAGCCGCCAGCCCCGCGGCAAAGCGGCCGCCTGGGAGGTGTATCCTCGCCCGGGTCTGCAGGACGCCGGCTCGGGACTCCCCTCCCATTCCGGCCCTCAAAGCCTCGCTCCTGGGGGTGCGGCTGGCAAAGCCCACCCGCTTGGGCGGGCCCCTGATGGGAATTTGGAGCAGAACCTCGTCCAGTTCGGAGGCCGAGGGTCCTCCGGGCTTCCGAAGGAAGCCGAACTCAACGCTGAACGCTTTTTGGAGAATGACTGCGTTGAGTGGAGATGTGGTCTGTCTGTAAAACGCTAGGAGAGAACAATATCTGTTACCACTCAGTCCGTCTCTAAAGAGACACTCGAGAGCGAGCGCTCCCACACCCCCATCTCGGGTCCTACCTGCGTCCAAGGCCGATGTGGTGAGTAGGAGTGTGTGTGCAGTCTTTTAAGTCCGAGGGTGGCGTGTCTGGGAGCACTGTGAGGGTGGGGCGTCTTTGATGTAAAGCTTCTCAGCCATCAACTGTTTCCCAAGTAAGATTCGAAAATTCCTGCACTTTGGCAACAAGACTTTTTATGTATTCAGGAGTGGGACATTTTTTCACAAGCTCCAATTTCCAGAACACACGCAGCTCCTGTCTCTGCATATAGTCACACACACACACACACACACACACACACACACACACGCCCGTAAGTCACATACTCATCTTTCTCCAACAAACTTCAAAAAGTTGGGCCAGCTCCCTTCCCACGTAGCTCGGACTGTTCTTGGGGTGCCGTTTACTCTGGACCTGGTCACTGTGAAAGCACTTGCTCCGATTCTAGGGGTTGGTTGAGATGATGGATTTGAGTTGTTTCCAAATTTGCCTGTTACCATTCTTGAATAGTACTCATTATACTATATTTACACCATTTGAAGACATACCCTTTTCCCCAATTTTAACATATCTGAATCCAAGATGCGTCTTCCTAGTGTGGTTCAAAGGAGCTTGCTTGCCAGCTGCTGGGCATCTGTGTGGGCGGTGATGCGGCTGTCAGTGGTCTCTCATGCCAAAATGCAGCTATGTCATTATTCTGTCCCTTGCGATATTTTGAGCTTTAAATTCAGATTTAACTGTTTCTAAAAATAACTTTTAAAACTAATGCTGTGATTCAGCAATATGATAACAGATTTATAACGGGTTTACTGTTTGCCTAGCATTGTCTCAACCAATATTACAACTCTATGGAATACAATTATTATCTCCGTTTTATAGATTAAGAAACTGAAGCTCAGAGAGCTGAAGCGTCTTAGAGATTTTAAGTGTAAGTGTCAGGGTTCTAAGCCAGACTGTATGATTTCAAAGCCTGGCCTCTTAAATCCTGTCGGTATCCAAGCAGAAGATGCATGCAGCTTATAAGCAGGGAAGATGAGGCAGGGTCTGTGCATGTTTGTACATCTTTGCATGTTTGTGTATGTGTGTGTGGAACTCGAGATAGAGCCACATCCAAGAACATGTATTATATTTATTCCTACATGGATAACATATTTTTGCTTTGGGTATTTTGCAGTTTTAAATATATTTCTGCAGTTTCTGGAGCTCTGGAGACAGGTGCTTCTGGATCCCTCTTCTCTTCCCTTTTGCTCCTCTAAAAAGTATGGAGACGTGAACTCAAACCTAACTAACTGGCTGCCTCCCAAAGAAAGTGCTTGATTTAAAGGACAGTTTGTTTCCTAGTGTTGTTACAGTCACATCAACCTCTAGGAAACTCTAGGTCCTGGTGCTGCAGGGACACACCGAAGTCTGGAGGGCAGGCGATTGGAATCTGAGGAGCACCCTACAACTGTAAAGCCTCTCATCAGAGCTTCTGGCAGTTTCCTCACTGTAAGGGGACAAGTCCAGTCAGGCAGGCATTGTCATGCTGCAGCGGCTCCTGATCACTCTGCCTACTGAGGCCAGCACCTGGGTGAAGTTGCAACATCCAAAGAAGGCCACAGAGGGGGTGCCCCTGTGGGAGGATGTGACTAAAATGTTTGAAGGAGAAGGTGAGAATAGACTGATGGAGGGGTAAGAAGGGGTTCTTATTTGTGTGTGAAAAGATGGGTACCCACTTCATTGCAGTAGAAAGAGGGAGAGAAGGTCTTTGGGGGTTCATTCTTGTGGTTTTTGGGAAGGGGACAGCTGTGAGGGAAACTAATGGGCTCTAACATGGGCTCCTTGTGACATGTGCTTTCAGCTGCTCTCATCTCCCATCTTCCTTTTTTTTTTTTTTTTTTTTGAGACAGAATCTCACTCTGTCACCCAGGCTGGAATGCAGTGACATGATCTTGGCTCACTGCAGCCTCTGCCCCACCAGGTTCAAGTGATTCTCCTTCCTCAGCTTCCTGAGTAGCTGGGATTACAGGTGCCTGCCACTGCACCCGGCTAATTTTTGTATTTTTAGTAGAGATGGGTTTCACCATCTTGCCCAGGCTGGTCTCGAACTCCTGACCTCGTGATCAACTCACCTTGGCGTCCCAAAGTGCTAGGATTACAGGCGTGAACCACTGTGGCCGACCTCCCATCTACAAATACTACATGTGACAGGAAGACAGAATACAAGGTGTTCTCTGCCAGCGGTGTCTGAATGTGGGAATGTGATTCACAGACAGGGGTCTAAGATTTCTGCCCTCCTTAAGTCCTTAAGGGTTTTCCTGCACAAGTTTCAGTCATTTTAGCCCCAAACCAGTATTTATTACAAGTATCAATTTTTTCTTTTCATCTACTGAGAGGCAGGAATGACATGCCAGATTACTCCCATGTTATCTTGAACTGTGGGAGAGATGCCCAAAGATCACACCTTATTTAGTGGTCTGGTTAGGAGTAAATAGAAAGATGGAGGAAGTGATGTGTCTCATGTGGCGTTTTAATTCATACCTTTAATTTTTTACATTCAGCCAGTATTTATTGTTCTAGCTGTGTCAGGCAGGTACTTTGGCTGAGCAACTTAACAGATGGAAAAGTGAATAATTATCTCTAATTTTGATTACAAGTAGATGGAGAGGGGCATACCCCTCAATCAAAATAATAGAAAGTAGCCTAAGAAGAGTTATTTTGGAACACAAGAGACAGGAAACTTTGTTCTGGTTGTATGTACTTAAGAAATTTTCACAGAATGGATAGCATTGATTTGGACCTTGAAGAATGTCTTAGGTTTTTTGTGTAGATTTGGGGAAAGGATGCAAAAGAGGATGCCTTGAAGAAAATGAGGGGTCTTTAGTCTGAGAGTTAAGAATGTGGTGAGTGGGTATGTCCCATGTATAAAGGATGGTACTTTAGAGGTACCCATTGTCGAGAAAATATGCTTTGGGCAGATTGTAGAGTGCCTTGAAGTCCATGGTGAAGTGTTTGGATTTTTCTGTCAGCGGGGAACCTTTGAGGATTTTTGGACAAAGGAGTGGTCTGTTAGAGCTGTGCTTTTGGACCAGTATTGACCATTGGTAGAGTTTTTTGGACGGGGGAGTAGGATTTAAATAATTCTCCATTTAAATACTTTGTTCTCTCATACATGGTTTTTGATCATTGGGAGACATTAATCCCCACAGCAACTTGCAGCAGGTCCTCCTCATTAAAGGGGCTTCAGGTTGCTCTTGAGTCATTCTCAATGTTCCTTTTTGTGAACGTTTTCAGGGAGGAGCCACACTGAGTGGGTCTGCAGGCAGTTTCTCTGTTTGGGTGATTTGGGAAGATGCAAACCTCATGGCTGTTTTCCTTCCCCAGCTCTGCAATCACAGGATGTTGATGAGACCCAGGAAGAAAGTTTAGAGGATGAAGTGAACCCTGGACTCCCGACAGCAGAATCCCAGGTAAGTAGTGATTCATCTCATTTTCTTGACATTGCTTCTTGTTTTTTTAGGGTATATAACCTGTCTGTTTTGTAGAGGTGAGAGTGGTGGTGAGGTAGGGTATTAAGACTAACAAATTCAACCTAGGTAGCTCCATGCATGTTGCTCTTTTACAGAAAATTAGGCTTCAGTGGTGGCAACTTCCCTACTCATAGGAGTCTCCCTCCATGTCACTCTTGTTTCTCACTAACATCTGAATCTAGTATTATGCTGCTGCTTTCTATAAAGAAAGTGAAATGAGTGATACAATTCTAGCCATAAAAACCACCTGATACCACTTGAGATCTAAGAGAAATCTCAATAAAATACTCAAAATCAAAATGTGTAAGACGGTTCTGACTTTCTCACGTATTACTGTGAACTTCAACAGGTAACCCTTAGTGTAATATTGAGAACAGAGGTCAAACCAGAACCAAAGGAAAAGTGAGTAGAGAAGAAATAGGCCACACAGTGCACACATCAGACAGGCTGGGCAGCAAAGCAAGAGCAGCCACTGGGAGCAGCTACAACAGGGTGTCGGAAATGGGATAGTCTGTACTGCTTGCTGGAAACATAGATGAAATGGAGGAAACACTGTAGAATAAATGTGAGAGAAAGACTTAAAGAAGAGATCTTATTGGAGGACAGAAGAGTTTTAAGTGAAATGAACTGGAGTTCTGAAATTAGATGGTACAACATTTGTCTTTACTTGCTCAGTCATCTGGGGCAATTACTTGAGCTTTTTACAGTCTCATTTCCCTCAAGTAAGAAGTTCAGATGCTAATACCTGCCATCCAAGATTGAAATATGTTGCAGCTTTATTTATAGTAATATGGAAGAAGTAACGATAATAGTCTAAAAAGTTATTGCTACATTCTGCTTATCTGGAATTTTTCACTTCCTACATTTATCATAAACTGATGGGCTTCTTAGCATTGGGAAAGGATTAATTTTTTTTTTTAATTAAGGTACAATTTAAATACGGGAAAATACACTAAGAAAGTGTATAGTTTGGGCTGGGTGCAGTGGCTCATGTCTGTAATCTCAGCACTTTGGGAGGCTGAGGCAGGAGGATTGCTTGAGCTCAAGAGTTTGTGACCAGTTGGCAAGATAGTTGAGACCCTATCTTTTTGTCATTTTTTAATTAGCAGAGTATGGTGGCATTTTCCTGTAGTCCTAACTACTTGGGAGGCTTAGGGAGGAGAATTGCTTGAGTCCAGGAGTTTGAGGTTGCAGTGAGCTATGATTGCACCACTGGTCTATGGCCTGAGCCACAGAGTGAGACTCAGTCTCAAAAAAATAAATAAATAAATAAAAAAGGAAATTGTATATCGCCTGATTTTGATACATATAACATGTAATCAAATCAAGATAGAGAACATTTCTACCATCTCAGAAAGTTTTCCATGCCCCTTTTAAATCAGTATTCCACTCCTCACCCCATGGAGAGTGTATGAGATGTCTGTTTTTAGAAAGAATGTAGGTTCTATAGTTGTTAGGCATAGTGTTCCGTAAGTGTTAATTAGGTTAAATTGGTTGATTATGTTGTTCAAATCTTCTGTATCCTTAATGAGTTTTTGTCTACTGGTTATATCAATTACTGAGAGAGGAGTGTTAAAGTTTCTAGTTATTGTGATTTTGACTGTATCTCTCTTCAGTTCTGTCAATTCTGCTTTATTTTGAAGTTCTGTCATCACACGTATAAACACTTAGAATTGTTGGCCCTCTTATCATTATGAAATGTCCCTCTTTTTCTCTAGTAATACTTCTTTTCCAGAAGTCCTAGTGTGATAGAATATATGCCTCTAAAGTTCTTTTAATTATTGTTCGTATGGTATTGCTTTTTTCATCTTTTTACTTTAAACCTATCTGTGTCATTATAGTTAAATTGTGACCTTCTTAAATGTAGCTGAATCTTGCCTATTGAGTCCATTTACAGTTAAAGTAATCAGTATGGGTCTGGTGTGGTAGCCCATGCCTGTAATCCCAGCACTCTGGGAGGCTGAGGTGGATGGATCACCTGAGGTCAAGAGTTTGAGACCACCCTGACCAACATGGTGAAGCCCCATCTCTACTAAAAATACAAATAATTTTCCAGGCGTGATAGTGGATGCCTGTAATCCCAGCTATTCCAGAGGCTGAGGCAGGAGATTTGATTGAACCTGGGAGGCAGTGGTTGCAGGGAGGTGGAAGTTGCAGCAAGTGCACCACTGTACTCCAACCTGGGCAGTAAGAACGAAACTCCATCTCAAAGATGGATGGGATGGGATGGAGTGGGATGGGATGGGATGGGATTATATTTTTGTTTTTGTTTGCTATTTGTCCTATCTAGGCTTTGTTTGTTTCTCTTTTCCTGCCTTCTTTTTTTGTTTGTTTGTTTTTATTTTTTAAAGACAGAGTCTCACTCTGTCACCAAGGCTGGAGTGCAGTGATGCGATCTCAGCTTACTGTAACCTCTGCCTCCCACGTTCAAGCAATTCTACCTCAGCCTCCCAAGTATCTGGGATTAAAAGGGCCCTCCACTATGCCTGGCTAATTTTGTATTTTTAATATAGATGGAGTTTCACCATGTTGGCCAGGCTGGTCTCAAACTCCTGACCTCAAGTGACCTGCTCACCTGAACCTCCGAAAATGCTAGGATTTCAGGCATGAGCCACTGTGGCTGGCCTTTTTCTGCCTTCTTTTGGATTGAATCATTTTTCCAGTATTCTATTTTGTGTCCTCTAATGACTTACAAGCTACAGTTCTTCAATTTTTTTTTTTTTTTTTTTTTTTTTTTTGAGACAGATTTTCACTCTTGTTGCCCAGGCTGGAGTGCAATGGCATGATCTCAGCTCACTGCAACCTCTGCCTCCCAGGTTCAAGCGTTTCTTCTGCCTCAGCCTCCCGAGTAGCTGGGATTACAGGCTCCCACCACCATACCCAGCTAATTTTTGTATTTTTAGTAGAGATGGGGTTTTGCCATGGTGGCCAGGCTGGTCTTGAACTCCTGACTTCAGGTGATCCACCCACCTCAGCCTCCCAAAGTGCTGAGATTATAGGCATGAGCTATTGAGCCTGGCCATTTCTTTGATTTTTTTTTTTTTAGTGGTTGCTCTAACAACCACTAAAAACAATCATATTATATGTGAAGCCATGTAATATTAATTCAGAGTAACTGTGGAGTGTGAAAAATTGTATTTAATGAGGCCAGGCACAGTGGCTCACCCCTGTAATCCCAGCACTTTGGGAGGCCAAGGCAGGCAGATCACAAGGTCAGGATATCGAGACCACCCTGGCTAACACTGTGAAACCCTATCTCTACTAAAAATAAAAAAAAATTAGCCGAGTGTGGTGGTGTGTACCTGTAGTCCCAGCTACCCAGGAGGCTGAGGCAAGAGAATTGCCTAAATCCAGGAGGCAGAGGTAAAAGTCAGCCACGACTGCACCACTGCTCTCCAGCCTGGGCAACTCTTGTCTCAAAAAAACTTTTTGTATTTAACATTACACATGTTACAAAAGAAACATTCCACAGTTACTTTGAATTAATATTATACACTTCACATATAATATGAAAGACTTAGATTTTCATATACTCCTTCCCACTCTGTTATTGTCAATATACATTTTGTTTTACGTGTAAAAACACAACAGCACATTGTTAATTTTGCTTTTAATAGTAAACTGTCCTATAAAAAATTAGGAAAATGAAAAAAACATGTCTTTCATATTTGCCTACATATTTATCCAGTTAGGTACTCTTGTTTCCTTTCATTCCAGGTTTCTCTATCTGACATCATTTCCCTTCAGTTTAAAGAACTTTGTTTAGCATTTCTTGCAATGTGGGTGTTCCGGTGACAAATTCTCACAACTTTTCTTGATCTAAATATTTCTTTATATTATCTTACTATTTGAGAATCTTTTATTGGATAAATAATTCTAGGTTGACTGCTTTTTCTTTAAGCACTTAAAAAATGTTCCATTATCGGCAGGGCGCGGTGGCTCACGCCTGTAATCCCAGCACTTTGGGAGCCGAGGTGGGTGGATTGCCTGAGGTCAGGAGCTGGTAACTAGCCTGACCAACATAGTGAAACCTCATCTCTACTAAAAATACAAAAAAATTAGCTGGACGTGGTGGCAGGCACTTGTAATCCCAGCTACTCGGGAGGCTGAGGCAGGAGACTCACTTGAACCCAGGAGGTGGAGTTTGTGGTAAGCCGAGATCACGCCATGGCACTCCAGCCCAGTAATAAGAGCGAGACACCGTCCCAAAAAAAAAAAAAAAGTTCCATTATCAGCAGGGCACGGTGGCTCATGCCTGTAATCCTAGCACTTTGGGAGGCTGAGGCAGGTGGATCACGAGGTCAGAAGTTCAAGACCAGACTGGCCAACATGGTGAAACCCCATATCTACTAAAAAATACAAAAATTAGCTGGGCATTGGTGGCTCATGTAATCCCAGCTATTTGGGAAGCTGAGGTAGGAGAATTGTTTGAACCAGGACCCAGGAGGCGGAGGCTGCAGTGAACCGAGATCACGGTGCTGCACTCCAGCCTGGGCTACACAGCAAAAGAGACTCCATCTCAAAAAAAAAAAACAACAAAAAAAAACCAGTTCCATGATCTTTTAGTTGTATTGTCTGGATGAGAAGGCAGCTGTTATTCTTTTTATGTGATGTATCTGTTTTATATCAACTTTTATCTGATGTGTATATGTGGTTTTTTTTTTTCTTTTTTTTTTGAGGTGATCTTGGCTCACTGCAACCTCCACCTCCCAGGTTCAAGTGATCCTCCCATGTCAGCCTCTCAAATAGCTAGGATTATAGCTGTGCACTACCACATCCAGCTAATTTTTTTGTATGTGTTTTTAGTAGAGATGGGTTTTCACCATGTTGGCCAGGCTGGTCTCGAACTCTTGACCTCAAGTGGTCTGCCACCATGGCCTCCCAAAGTGCTGGGATGACAGACACGAGCCACTGTGCCTTGCTGTGATTTTCTTTGAGTTTATCCTTTTTGGAGTTTGCTGAGCTTCTTGGATCTATGGGTTGATTTTTTTTTCCCATCAGTTTGGAAAATCTTCATTCATTATTTTTCAAATTTTTTTCTACCTATTCTCTCTTCTGAGATCCATCTTCCCTCCCTCCCTCCCTTCTTCCTTCCTTCCTTCCTTCCTTCCTTTTGCTTTCTCTCTCTCCTTCCTTCCTTCTTCCCTCCATCCCTCCCTGTCTCCCTCCCTCACTCCCTTTCTCCCCTCCTCCCTTTCTCCCTTCTTCCCTCCCTTTTTTCCCTGCCTTCCTTTCTCCTTTCCTTCTCTCCCTCCCTTCCTCCTTCTCTCCGTTCCTTTCTTCTTCCTGTCTTTTTTTTTAACCAGGTGTTGCACTGTCACCCAGACTGGAGTGCGGTGGAGAGATCATAGCTCACTGCAGCCTCTACCTCTCAGGCTTAAGCGATCCTCCTGTCTCAGCCTCCTGAGCTCCTGAGTAGCTGGGGCTACAGGTATGCGCCACCACACCTGGCTAATTTTTGTTTTTTTGTTTTTTTCAGAAATAGGGTCTTCCAATATTGCCTAGGCTCGTCTCAACTCCTGAGCTCAAGCAGTCCTCCTGCCTTGGCTTTCTAAAGTACTGGGATTATAGGCATGAGCCACCCCACCTAGCCCTCAGATTCTAATTACATGTTTATTTGACCACTTGATATTATCCCACAGATTTTTTTTCTCTTGGTACTCTAATTTGAATATTTATTGATCCATCTCAAGTTTCACTGATCTTGTCTTCATCATGGTCTAATCTGCTTTAAACCCATCCAATGAATTTTGTAGATACTGTATTTTTCACTTGTAGAATTTTCATTTACAGTTGATTCTTGAGGAATGCAGGTTTGAACTGTACAGGTTCCACTTCTTTATGGATTTTTTTCAATAAATATATGGAAACATTTGTGACAGTGTGAAAAACTTGCAGGTGAACCGCGTAGCCTAGGAATATCAAAAAAATTAAGAGAAAGTTAGGTATGTTATCAATACATAAAATATATGTAGATACTAGTCTATTTTATCATTTACTACCATAATAGATATTACATATCTATTATAGAAAGTTAAAAATTGTCAAAGCTGATGTGTACAGACCACTCATGGTGCCATTCAAAGTTGAGAGAAATATAAACTAATGTAAAGATGCAGTATTAAATCACTACTGCATAAAATAAACTGTAGTACACATATTGTATTACTGTGATAATTTATTTGACTGTCTCCTGTGACCATTGTAGTGAGCTCAGGTGTTTCAAATATCTACTTAAATGCAGTGTGATGCTAAGCATCTCTGCATTAGCACTTCATCTCTCCAGTAAATTGCATATCACAGTAAAACATGACCTCTCAGCCGGGCACAGTGTCTAATGCCTGTAATCCCAACGCTTTGAGGGGTCAAGGCAGGAGTTCATGTATAAATACACACATACATGTATAGTTTGTTTTGATTTGTTCCATTTCAAGCCCTTTCGTCTCTCTGGTGGTTAAAAGTGTGGGGCTCCTCCTAGAGCTGTGGCTGAGCTCTGGCAGTCTTGCAGCTTTAATTTGATTGAGTATACTTCTAATTAGCCCATGCCACCACTGCCGAGGGCTTTTCATCTTTTTATCATTTGAGTTTAGGAAGGGAGTAGACTACAGTTCCAGACAGTTTTGTCCATTTTTGCATTAAACTCCAGTAGTGCCATAGAATTCAAGCTCAGCAAGAATGCTAGGTCTCTGTGAGAGTAAGTGCCCGAGGTGGTGGGGGAACCTCTATCCCCATCTCACCCTGTTCCTCATCACCACCTCTCTGATTTCATCTTTTTCCACTCTCTCATTAGCCAGGTTACCTCTAGCCATGCTGTTCACCTTCCTATTCCTCAAGCCAAGGATGCTCTCACCTTAGGTCCTTTGCACCTGCTTTTTGGATTTTCTTCTCTCAGATTTCCACGTGGTTCTCTCCTTTACTGAATTTATGTCTCTGTCTCTATGTTTGTTGTATTTTTTATAGCAACACAAAAACAGACTATCAAGTATCACCCTTTTAGAGAGCCTTCCCCAACCACTTTACATAAAAGATTATTCTACCCTCACTGTGGTTCTCCCTATGCCTCTTAACCTGCTTAATTTTTTTCTAAGGCATGTATCACCATCTGTCTTTCTGTATGTTACATTATTTATAGTAATCTCCAGATTAGAAACCCAGACATACTACAGTTCCAGATAGTTTTGTTGATTAGATTTGGAGATAAGAGGATCTCCAAACAGATCCAGAGAAGGCTCCTGATAAAAGTAAGTTTAGAATCTCTTAGAACTTAGAATAGGGTCAGAACTCCTTGGAACTTAACAGAAGTGGTCTCTGGCTAAAAAAGAATGTGTTTGATGTTCTAGGAATTGTTGACTTTCAAGGACATATCTATTGATCTCACCCAGGAAGAATGGGGGCAGCTGACTCCTGCCAACCAGAATCTGTACCGAGAGGTGATGCTGGAGAACTACAGCAACTTGGTGTCAGTGGGTAAGACTTGGCTATCCATGCATCCAGAAACCCATCCATTACAGGAGAGTCATTATTTTACATTGTTTATGTATGGATTCCTTGAGACTTGATTTTGGGTTCTGTATTAAAGATGTCTTATTCCCTTTTAAAACCAAGTGAGGGCATATCCGATTTGCCTTCCTTGGGGAACAACTTTACTACACAGAGCTGGAATAGAAAGACCCACCCCTGGCTGGGCGTGGTGGCTCATGCCTGTAATCCCAGCACTTTGGGAGGCCAAGGTGGGTAGATCACAGGGTCAGGAGTTCAGGATCAGGCTGACCAACATGGTGAAACCCCATCTTTCCTAAAAATGAAAAAATTAGCCAGGTGTGGTGGCATGTGCCTGTAGTCCCAGCTACTCAGGAGGCTGAGGCAAGAGAATCACTTGAACCTGGGAGGCAGAGGTTGCAGTGAGCCAAAATCAAGCCATTGCACCCCAGCCTGGGTGACAGAGCAAGCCTCTGTCTCAAGAAAAAAAAAAAAAGAAGGAAAGAAACACCCCTTTCTACTTGCAGAGACCCTGAATACTAGAAGACTAGAATAAAATTCTAGGGATGGTTCTTAGACATCAGCATAAACATTCACACTCTTTTTTTAAACTATGTAAGCAGGATATCAACTTTCCAAACCTATTGTGATATCCCAGCTAGAGAAAGGAGAAGAGCCCTGGATGACAGAGAAAGAAGGCCCGGGAGATACCAGTTCAGGTGAGACCAAGTGTGTTAGTCTGTTTTTGTGTTGCTATAGAGGAATACCTGAGACTCTGTAATTTATAAATAAAAGAAGTTTAACAGGCTAATAGTTCTGCAGGCTGTACAGGAAGCATGGCACTGGCATCTGCTCCTGGTGAGGGCCTCAGGAAGCTTCCAATCATGGCGAAAGATGAAGTGGGAACCAGTATGTCACATGGTGGGAGCTGGAGCTTGAGAGTGAAGGAGTAGGTGCCAGCCTCTTTAAACAACCAGATCTCACGTACACTCAGAGCAAGAACTCACTTATTACCATGGGGAGAACACTCATTCATGAGTGATCCACCCCCATGACCCAACACTTCCCTTGAGGCCCTACCTTCAACGTTGGGGATCACATCTCAGCATGAGATTTGGAGGGGGAAAATACTCAAACCATATCACCAAGGCAGATGATACCTTTTAATGAGTAGGTCAGAGTGCTCAAAGCCTCGCTGTGGGGAGGGCTCAGACCACTGGACAGAGCCTGCACTAAACTAATAATCACCCGTCCCTTCCTTACCCCTTTCCTTTACTGAGCCGTTGCAAAAGTCCCTCTGGAGTCGGAGGGAAGAGCAGTCTTGTCCTCATTAAGATTGAGCTTGATTTTCCCTTTCTCCAGTATCCTAAGGGCTGCAATTTAAAGCTTTCTCCAAGTAGTCAGATGTATATAGTATTTTCACAAAATCCAGTCTCTTTTCAGGACTCTCATTGCGTTCTACAAATCTTTAATTTTCCTGCACTCCATTTTTACTTTTTGCCAGTGTTCATTTTACAATTCCAGCTTTGATTATCATTCTCTTTTTAACTTATATATCTTAATATTTTGTAACAGCTATTTCATGGAAACTCCTGTAAGAGAAATTACCAAAGGATTCCTTCACAACAAATCTAGTGGTCTCTAACAACCTCCTCCAACTTTGCTTTTTATTGTGAAATGTTTTAGACATTCAGAAAGGCATAGAAAACATTTAAACACATTTCTATGTAGCTTCCACCTAGATTAAGAAATGAAACAGAGTTGAAGCCCCAATGTCCCCCTTATACCTTTTGAAATAACCACTCTGTGTTGAAATATTATCATTCCCATGTCTTCATGCTTTTATTACATATATAATATAAAAGCAGTCTGTATGTATTAGTATATACATACTAAACAATATATAGCATTGTTTTGCATGTTCTTTTTCTTTAAATGGTATATATACTTCTTTTGCTTTGCTCATTCAACACTAGTGATATTCCTCTATGTTCTTCTTGTTCATTCATTTCCATTGAATTAATAAACCACAATTTATTTATTCATTTTCCTGTTTATAGACATTTACATTGTTTCCAAATTTTGGTGTTACAAAGATGCTGCAGCAAATTTTTTTGTGCATAACTTCTTGTATACATAATGCAAGTGTTTTGCTAAGATAGTAGAAGCAAAATTGTTGGGTTGTAGAATATGGGCAGTTTCATTTTATTAGGTAATACCAATTTACTCTTCAAAACAGTTAAACAATTTATTCTCCCATTAACAGGGTTTGAGAGTTTCCAGCATGTTTGTCAACACTTGTTATTGTCAAACCTTAAGATTTTTGTAAATTCACTGGGTTATGGTATATTGTTTCTTTCATTTTCCTGATTACCAGTGAAAGGAAATATATTTCTCATGTTCATTGACCATCCATCCAGGATCCCTCTTCTGTAAATTACCAGTTTATATTCCTTGCCAATTTTTGTATTATCTTTTTTCTTATTTTTCTTGTTCAATTTTTCCATTGTCTTTTTTCTGATTTGTAGGAAAAAAACTGTGTGTGTGTATTCATTCTAGATAATAATCCTTGATAGCTTTATGTGTTACTCTAGGTCAGTGGACCATCTTTTACTTTTAAAATTAGTGTCTTTTGATAGATGCGAGTTTCTAAATTTAATGTTACTGAATTTATTAGGTTTTTTCTTTATGATTTGTGCTTTTTGTTTAAGAAATGCTTTTATGCCTTATTCTCCTTTTTTGTAAACTTTTTAAAAAAATTGTTTTTAGAGACTGGATCTTGCTGTGTTGCCCAAGCTGGTCTCCAACTCTTGGGCTCAAGTGACTCTTCTGCCTCAGCCTCCTTAGTAGGTGGGACTGCAGGTGCATGCTGCTGTGCCCTGCTATTTTCCATCTTATCATATATATTTCTATGTATTCCTATATTTTCAAAGTTTTGCTTTTCATATTTAGGTTTAATTCTGGAATTTATTTTATATAAATAAACTTGTATGTATGAGGTAGAAATCTGTTTAACTTTTTCCACATGGATAATCAGTCCAGGAATAGTTAATGCTGCTCTGTTACCTGTCATGTTTCTTTATATGTTTGGGTCTATTTCTGTTTTGCATATTCTTTTTTCTATCATGTTTCTCTCTTTATGTTGTTTTATTATTTTGTTTTTCTGTCCTTACTCTAATGCTAGTCTGTCTTAATTACTGTATTTCATAATGAGACTTCATATGTGGTAGAGGTAGTTCACTCATCTTGTTCTTTAAAATTGTTCTGGTTATTCTTGGCTCTGTTGTTCTATTTGATTTATATAATCAAGGCATCAAATTACACACAAAAATATTCTGCTGGGATTTTGATTGAAATAGAATTGAATTTCTTGATCAATTTTGGGGAGAGTTAACATTGTTATATTATTGAATCCTGCCATCCAGGAATATGATATAGCTCTCCATTTATTGATACTTCCTAATTTTTTAAGTAACATTTCAGGATTTTCTCTTGTACCTATTGCACAGTTTTTGTTAGATTCCTTCTGAAAATCTTGTATTTTGTTGCTGTTGTAGATGGTAGTTTTTTCCCTTTTCTTTTCCCCTACCATTAGTCATGAACAGGTATGTTTTTAAAAATTATGTTGCTGGCTGGGCACAGTACTCATGCCTGTAATCCTAGCACTTTGGGATGCCAAGGCAGGCAGATCACCTGAGGTCAGGAGTTTGAGACCAGGCTGACCAGCATGGCAAAACCCCATCTTTACTAAAAATACAAAAATTAGCTGGACATGGTGGCATGCACCTGTAATCCCAGCTACTCGGGAGTTTACCTGGTTGTGGTGGCACATGCCTGTAATCCCAGCTACTTGGGAGGCTGAGGCAGGAGAATCACTTGAACCCGGGAGGCAGAGTTTGCAGTGAGCCAAGATCACACCATTGCACTCCAGCGTGGGCAACAAGAGTAAAACTCTGTCTCAAAAAAAAAAAAAAAAATTATGTTGCTGGTGTGAAATAACAAAATTGATTTTGAATATTGACCTTTTATGCAGCCACCTTGTTTTACTCTATTATTAATTCCAATGATTGTTTGTATATTTTCCTGGGTTTTCTCTTCTTCAACTTTTAATAATGAAAATAATAATTTAAACTACCATGAATGTTCTTTCCCTGCCTCTAGATGTTTTTTGAAGATGAAATCTTGAAGAGTTTCTTGGATGATCCAGTCTTTTTAAATAACAAGAACACTCTTGACTTTAGTAAAATGCCTGTTTAATTCAGTGCAATAATAACAGCTCCCAACTTCATTCAGAGTTAAATCCTCTTTTCTTCCCCTCTAGCTTGAGACACCCTGATGCTTGGATACTGAATTTAAGGGAGGGATGCATAAATGGCTTTTCTTTGCCCCCATTATCTTTTCTTCCTCCTCCCCTATTCAAGACCAGAATCAGAGAACTGCAGAGCATAGATATTATTAGATGTTATTATTGCCTGTCTTCATTTAGAATTTGACATTTTGAATTACTAATGATCCATCTGTGTTGGCTAAAATATCTTAGAAGAAATTATACGTTTCAGGAATACATACAGACCTGTCAGTTGAAATATTAGTAATGTTGCAACAAATTTATCAAGTAAAAATCTTAAAGGTTGAAGGATATTTTCCTAGAAACTAGCAGCAGTAATAGCATAGCAGTCTGGGTTTCTTACAAGTCTCCTTTGTATAAGTAATACTTCCATGGACATATTAATAACTATAGAAAGAGAAATACACGCACACACACATTTCAATAAAAGACAGCATAATGTCCTTGTGTATATTCTTAGTTCAAACTGTATTTTTTGAACTAATATCTCCTGCTGCTACCAGAGTGGGGAGGGAAACATCTTTTTGTCTTTCTGAGATTGTTTTCCAAAGGTAGTTGTCAATTAAAAATATTTATATTCTGGCCAGGCGTGGTGGCTCACACCTGTAATCCCAGCACTTTGGGAGGCTGAGGTGGGCAGATCACGAGGTCAGGAGATTGACACCATCCTGGCCAACATGGTGAAACCCCATCTCTACTAAAAATACAGAAAATTAGATGGGTGTGGTGGTATGCACCTATAATCTCAGCAACTCGGGAGGCTGAGGCAGGAGAATTCCTTGAACCCAGGAGATGGAGGTTTCAGTGAGCTGAGATCATGCCACTGCACTCTAGCCTGGGCAACAGAGTGAGACTCCATCTTAAAAAAAAGAAGAAGGAAAAAAAAGGCTGGGCACGGTGGCTCATGCCTGTATCCCAACAGTTTGGGAGGCCGAGGCTGGCAGATCACTTGAGGTCAGGAGTTCGAGACCAGCCTTATCAACATGGTGAAACCCTGTCTCTACTAAAAATACAAAAATTAGCTGAATGTAGTGGCACATGCCTGTAATCCCAGCTAATCGGAAGGCTGAGGCAAGAGAATTGCTTGAATTTGGGAGGTGGAGGATGCAGTAAGCTGAGATCATGCCACTACACTCCGGCCTGGGCAATAGAGTGAGAGTCCACCTCAAAATAAATAAATAAATAAACACTTATATTCTTAAGACATAGCTCTGAAATTTTATTACTTAGCATTATTAGAAAGAGCTAGACTAAAAGACTCAAAATTTCCTTTCCCATTGCTTCTCCAAGCAGCGTAACTATATTTAAATATAGTAAAAAGCTTATGCACTTACCATATTGTTGTCTAAATCTCTGTTCCATAACCACTATATTAATTAGTTTTTCAAAGCTTAAAGAATATTATTTGCATTTTTTTCATTTCTTTCAGACTTGAAGAGTAACACAGAAACCACTGAGTCAACTGCAAAGAATACCATTTCACAGGAAAAGTTATATCATGGCATTATGATGGAAAGGTTCATGAGAGATGATATAATTTATTCCACATTGAGAAAAGTCTCCACATATGATGATGTCTTAGAAAGGCACCAGGAAACTTGCGTGAGAGATGTGAGACAAGCCATCTTGACCCATAAGAAGAGAGGCCAAGAAACTAACAAATTTGGGGAAAATATCATAGTGAGTTCAAATGTTATTATTGAACAGAGGCACCATAAGTGTGATACACCTACAAAGCGGAACAAGTACAAATTAGATTTGATTAATCATCCAACAGGTTACATAAGAACAAAAACCTATGAATGTAATATATGTGAAAAAATCTTCAAACAACCAATTCACCTTACTGAACATATGAGAATTCATACTGGCGAGAAACCTTTCAGATGTAAAGAATGCGGAAGGGCCTTTAGTCAAAGTGCATCCCTCAGTACACACCAGAGAATCCATACTGGTGAGAAACCTTTTGAATGTGAGGAATGTGGGAAAGCCTTCAGACATCGCTCATCACTTAATCAGCATCATAGAACTCACACTGGCGAGAAACCCTATGTATGTGATAAATGTCAGAAAGCTTTCAGCCAGAACATTAGCTTGATTCAACATTTGAGGACTCATTCTGGAGAGAAACCCTTTACTTGCAATGAATGTGGGAAAACCTTTAGACAGATTAGACATCTTAGTGAACATATAAGAATTCATACTGGGGAGAAGCCCTATGCATGCACTGCATGTTGTAAAACCTTTAGTCATAGAGCGTATCTAACACATCACCAGAGAATCCATACTGGGGAGAGACCATACAAATGTAAAGAATGTGGGAAAGCCTTCAGGCAGAGAATACACCTTAGCAACCACAAAACTGTTCATACAGGAGTGAAAGCATATGAATGCAACCGCTGTGGAAAAGCCTATAGGCATGATTCATCCTTTAAAAAACACCAGAGACATCACACTGGAGAAAAGCCTTATGAATGTAATGAATGTGGAAAAGCCTTCAGCTATAACTCATCACTTAGTCGACACCATGAAATACACAGGAGGAACACCTTCCGAAATAATGTGTAAAAGCAGGTATTGGACATGAGAACAAAAGCCAAGTTTAAGTTTGTGATTTAGGATGCTTTAAAATTTCAGGACAGAAATATGAGGAATTGGTGTAATTATGCCAACTTTTAATTTTACCCATTGTGTAAATAAACATTACATTGATAGCTACTGACTACTGACTACTAATACCTCCATAGAAAGTACTTAAGATTAAAATCTGGTCCTTCAAGTTAAATTACTTCAGCATTATGAAAAATTGACAACATAGTTTTTTTTCTGGTTTCATGGTGGATTAATAAATTATTCTTCATGGGTATTCAGTGATTTGCAAACCAGCAATTGGGAACTATAAGTTAAAATATCACCACCCCTATTTTTTAAATTAATTTTTTTTTTTTTTTTTGGCCAGGCTTAATGGCTCGTGCCTGTAATCCCAGCACTTTGGGAGGTCAAAGAAGGAGGATCACTTGCCAGAAGTCAGGACCAACCTAGGCAACAGAGCAAGACCCCATCTCTACAAAAAAGTTTTTAAAAAATTAGCAAGGCTTGGTAGCATGCACCTGTAGTCCAAGCTGCCCAAGAGCCTGAAGCAGAAGGATCACTTAAGCCCAGGAGTTCAAGGTTGCAATGAGCTGTGATCACACCACTGTACTTCAGGTGGGCAACAGAGTGAGACCCTGTCTCTATAAAAAAAGAATAAATGTGTTTTTTAATGGGGCAAAGTTTTACATGGGATAAAGTCCAGAAAGTGGAGACAGTTGTATACAGTGAAAAGCCTCCTTCCTGCATTTCCAACCACTGATTTTGCACAGAGGCAGCCATTTTTAATAATTTTTTGTGTGCATCCATTTTTAATAATTTTTTGTGCATCCATTCAGCTTTTTAATTTATATCCAAGAGAATACAAATACACAGTTTCCTTTGTCTTTTGAAGCAGAAATGGCCACCTATACAAACACATCTGCATGTTACTTTTATTACATAACAGTATAGGCTGGTTGCAGTGGCTCATGTCTGTAATCCCAGCAATTTGGGAGGCTAGAGCAGAAGATCTGAACCCAGGAGTTCGAGACCAGCCTGGGCAACATAGTGATAAGCTGTCTTTAGAAAAAAAGTTAAAAATTAGCTGGGTATTGTGGTGGCACTCACCTGTGGTCCCAGCAACTTTGGAGGCTGAGTTGGATTGAGCCTGGGAGGTTGAGGCTTCAGTGAGCCATGATCATACCACTGCACTCCAGCCTGGGCAACAGAATGAGGCCCTGTCTCAAAAATAAAAACCAAACAATATATCATAGATGTCATTCCACTTCACTATATAAGGTGCCTACTTATTTTTTATAGCTGCATGGTATTCCATGGTATAAATGTACTCTAACACTTCACTGTGGATGGATTTTGGTTATTTTCAGTCTTTCGTTTATACAACTTTCAATGAATAGTCTTATACATTTTCGTTTCACACACCTTAGTATGTAGGGTAAATTCCTAGAACTAGAATTTCTGTGCTAGAGTATGTGTGAGTTTTTTGTTTGGTTTTTGGGGGATTTTGTTTGTTTCTTTGAGATACAGTTTCCATCTCCCAGGCTGGAGTGCAGTGCCACAATCTCAGCTCACTGCAACCTCTGCCTCCTGGGCTAAATGGTCCTCCTGCGTCAGCCTCCTGAGTAGCTGAGATTATAGGCATGTGCCACCATGCCTTGCTCATTTTTGTATTTTAGTAGAGACAGGGTTTCACCATGTTGACCAGGCTGGTCTTGAACTCCTGGCCTCAAACAATCTCCCTGCCTTGGCCTCCCAAAGTGCCAGAATTACAAGTGTGAGCCACTACACCCAGCCGAGAGTATATGTGTTTTTATTATTGATATTGTCAAATGGACCTTCATAGAGGTTTAGACCTATGTATTTTCCCACCAGCAAGATATGGAACTGTAGGAACCATATCTGGTGCTGTACCATCTTCTAGACCTGGATCAACAGGCGTGTCTGCCAACTTAGGAGCATCAGCTTGTTTCAATAACATGGCCTAGAAGGACCAGCTGAGCTGCACTCCCTAGAAACAGTGACATTTTCCATACCTGGAGCCAGAGAGGAATCTGCATCTTCTTGATTGGTAGCCAAGCCAACCAGTATCTCAGCTGGAGAAGGAGACACCTTTCCACCAATTACTCTAGTCTCTGACTTATGAGCCTGGAACTGTTGGATGGATGGGAGTCCTTTTAAAGAAACTAATCCTTTTAGATTATAAAAGATAAAACATAAAGATAAAAGGATTGGTCTCTTTAAAAGGGCTCATTGCAGTGAATATAATCTTGGCTGTGATCCTTCTGATTGGTATGGAAGTGAACTGATGATTGAGGCAAGGTATTTGGGATGACAGGGTCTACCATGAATGATAGCATGAACATACATTGCATTTTACAGGATGCTTGTGTTAGGAGTTACAGTTAACACATGGCAGGAGATACAACTTTCTAATAAAAAATAAATAAGCATTAATTAGTTAAAATTGCTTACGATGGGTTGAAAGCTGAATACCAAAGCCAGGACCACAGTGATTTTGAACATGTTTTATTTTTCAATCTCATAACATTTTATGAAAGTTTTAGTGATTCTGTGTTAATGGATTTCCCATCAGGTCCCTCCCCACAGCCACTTACTCCAGCTACAGTCCAAAGCCTGGCACTTAAAATCCTCATTATATCTAGTCCTACCTTATAGCTTCAACTTCTATTTATGTTTCTCCTTCCCATATGGGCTCTGACCAAAGTCAGTATGTTAGAACTCTTTAGGTTGCAAATGGCTAGAAATCAACTGGGGCTATCTGAAGCCTCAAAGGAGGATATTATCAGAAGAATATCAGGGTATCTCATGGAATTCAGGGGCTGTGATACATGCTAACCGTGGACTGGGACCAGGTCTTGAAGGACTTTGGAAAATGCAAATCGTTTTTTCTCTCCATCTCTCACCTGTTTCTGTCTTCATTCTGGCCCTGCCTTTTTCAACACCTGATTGCAAATCATGGTTAGTGTCAGTTCCATATTTTACATATATTCAGTTTCCATCACTCAGACAAAAGCTGTCTTCTCTTTCTCATTTCCAGTGTAAAATTCCTGGGGTGAGGATTCTTATTGGTCCAGCTAGATCAGGTGCCCACCCTTAATTGTAGGCAGAGATGTCAGCTTTTGTGAGAACTATACGGATGGAGTGGTGGCTGAAAGGGCGGAAGAGCAGTTCCCAGAGGAAGGGCTTGCTGTTTGTAGAGTTCCAAATCTTACCCATTCTTCAATGCCATCTTATAGGATCAGGATTTTATAACTGAGAAGCGTTTAGGAACTCAACTAATCTAAACCCACAAATGGAGAATAACCACCTTCAATTACTCGTATCCTTTAACTGAGTCACATTTTGAGTACGTTTACTCCAAATTTGTCAGCCTAGCTTTCCATACACCTGCTTTCAATTGGCTGAATATAGCCACACACTTTGCCATTTTAAATAAGTTTACTTCTTAGATATACTACTGCTCCAGGAAGCCTTAGGTTCTGCTTCAGAGCCTACCCACTGGCTTAGCTTGTTATTAGTGCCTGTTTGTTTATTCTGTTTACCCCATAGCCACTATTCCCTCCTTTTGCTGATCACAGAAATGTCCCTCCCTAGGGCTGTGTCAGTAGGCATAGTCTCTTGTCTAGATAGACATTTTGTCTGATTTTTTTTTTTTTCAGACAGAGTCTCATTCTGTTGCCCAAACTGGAGTAAAGTGGCATGATCTCAGCTCACGGCAACCTCTGCCTCCCGGGGTTCTAGCGATTCTTGTGCCCCAGCCTCCTGAGTAGCTGGGATTACAGGTGTGCAACACCATGCCTGGCTAATTTTTTTGTATTTTTAGTAGAGATGAGGTTTCACCATGTTGACCAGGCTGGTTTCAAACTCCTGACCTCAAGTGATCTGACTGCCTCAGCCTCCCACAGTGCTGTTATTATAGGCATAAGCCACTATGCCCAGCCTGTTTGATTTTATTGACATACCAACACTTCTTTTTTAAAAGCTAATTTTATTTTTATTTTTTATTTTTTTAGAGACAGGGCCTTGCTCTGTTACCTAGACTGGAGTGCAGTGGCTCAATCATAGCTCACTGCAGTCTTGAACTGGGCTCAAATGATCCTCCCACCTCGGCCTCCCAAGTAGCTAAGACTACATACAGGCTCACACCACCACATGCAGCTAATTTTTAAAAATTTATGTAGAGATAGGGGTCTCACTTTGTTACCCAGGCTAGTCTCAAACTCCTGGCCTCAAGTGATTTCCCACCTCAGCTTCCCAAAGTACTGGTATTACAGGCATGAGCCTTTGCATCCAGCCCAAACACTTCTTACCCTTTATCTCTATCTTAGAAATCTCTCCTGAGCTCCATATCATTGTATTCAATGTCCAGCTGGATATCTCCACTTGGATATCCTATAGTCACTTCAAAGTCAACATGTCCAAAACTCAACTCATAATCTTTTCAATAAAATCTGTATTCTGTAACCCAGGAAGTGGTACCACCATCTACCTAATTCCCCAAACTTCTTCCTCTCATCCACTACCTCCCCCAATCAGTCACAAAGTCCAGTATATTCTCCTCAGTCTATCTTTTTCTCTCCATTCCCATCACGAATGTGTTAATCAGCTTCTTAGCACTTTCTAACTGCTTAAAAGATTCCCAACTGGGCCGAGCACGGTGGCTCACGCCTGTAATTCCAGCACTTTGGGAGGCCCAGGTGGGCCAATCATGAGGTCAAGAGATTGAAACCATCCTGGTCAACTTGGTGAAACCCCGTCTCTACTAAAAATACAAAAATTAGCTGGGCATGGTGGCACTTGCCTGTAGTCCCTGCTGCTCAGGAGGCTGAGGCAGGAAAACTGCTTAAACCTGGGAGGTGGAGGTTGCAGTAAGCCAAGATCATGCCACTGGACTCCCGCCTGGCAACAGACCAAGACTCCATTTCAAAAAAAAAAAAAAAAAAAAAAAATTCCAAAATGTTTTTTCTATGTGTAATTTGAATTAATCTCTCTATCCTCCCCACTGCTTCTAGAGTAATCATTCTAAAGCGTATGTCTAATCAAACCACATTATTCCTTAAAAATCCCTCAATGATTTCTCATAACTTTAAGACAAAGGTAAGCCTGAGTAATATAGTGAGAACTTCTGTCGACAAAAATTTATTATTATTATTATTTTTTAAGATTTTGTTTTATTTATTTAGGTTCTGGGGTACACGCGCAGATCGTGCAGGATTGTTACATAGGTACACACATGGCAAGGTGGTTTGCTGC